TGCGTACGAGTCCTGGCTAATTTAGCCAGCCTAGCTCCTTCCAGAAGCACAGAAGTCTCCTGGGCACTTCACAGGCTTCCCGGAGCGACCTCACCGTTCCGAGGATTTTTTCACGTTGATTAGCCACAGCCTCGCATTCCAGGACTACGTGGGTGACTGTTTCCTCTGCGCTGAAACAGCCTCTGCACAGGGGGCTGTCTGTCGCGCCTAGGATAAAAAGATGTTTATTTAGGAGGCAATGACCCGTTATTGTCCCTATCATTATTTTAAGGTTAGTTCTATTTAAGTTAAGTAGTCGCTTTGTCAGTTGCGGGTTTACTGCTGGCAAAGCCACTTTGACTGTCTGCAGGCCGCACCATGCGACCATCGTTGTTGCTGGAGTTCAGCGGATCTCTGGCGAATCCAGGTTCGCACCAGCGAGAAGGGCAAAGGAAGGAGCGGATACGGGCCAGCCGGCATCATTCCGGAGCCTCTTCTCGCAAGCTCGTCCGCAGCATCATTGCCGAGAGATCCACTGTGTCCCTTTATCCACTGCAAGGTAACCCTATTGGTTCGGGTTATGTCCTCCAGTGCTTCATGACACTCCAGTATTAGTTTGCTGTTGGTTTGTTTGTTTCCGAGCGCCATCAGCACGGATGCACTGTCGGATACGAATTTAATGCCAAAGTCATTAATCCCTAGCCGCTGCACGGCTCTGGCTGCTTCGGTTAAGGCGACACATTCACATTGAAAGATCGTGCTCTGTGTGCCCAAGGGTAGGTGTATGTTGATGTTGAGATCAAGAGAGAATATGCCAGCGCCTGAGCCAGACCCTGTTTTGGATCCATCTGTATATATACGTAGCTCATTTACGGTCGACCGATCATGTTCCTCTTCTCTCAGTTGTATAAGATATTTCCTGTTAAATATTAATTGGTTAGTGATTCTATCACAGGGCGCAGCAATAAGAGGTTGATACTCTATTGCCCTGTTGAGAATCGCTGTGTGTGCACTGTAGTGATTTTTTCCCCATAGATCCAGTACCATAAGCCTGATAGCAGCCAGGGCTGCCTCCTGCTGTATGTGTAGGTCCAGGGGTAAGATCTGCAGGGCCATCTCCATTGCTGCAGTTGGTGTTGTTTTCATGCAACCGCTAGCAGCAGACAAAGCAAGCCTTTGGAAGCGTCCGAGTTTGGTAATTGCCGTTTGAAGTTCTGTTCTGGGCCACCAAACAAGGGCTCCATAGGCTAGCATTGGCCTAATTATGGCAGTGTATATCCATAATGTTATCTTAGGCGATAAGCCCCATTTCACGCCTAGCATCTTTTTGCATTGATAAAAGGCGATCGTTGCTTTGTTTAGTTTGTGTTCTAGATGTTTGTTCCAGAGCAGTTTACTGTCCAAAATCACACCTAGGTACTTGATTTCATACTTGAGTATGAGTTCAGTGTTGAAGAGTTTCGGAAGTTTGTACGGTCCAAGAACTCTTCGGTTGGTAAAAAGTATTAGTTCTGTTTTTGATGGGTTGACAGATAACTCGTGCTTATTGCACCATCTCTCAATCACTTTGAAAGCTCTTCTCATGAGGTCACATAAGGTGCTTTCAAAGTTCCCAGATATCAAGATAGCTATGTCATCAGCATATCCCACAGTGTAGAGATTGTCAGCGTTGAGTTCTGTGATTAGTTCATTAACCACAAGGTTCCACAGTAGCGGCGATAGAACACCTCCCTGCGGACATCCTCTGCTGACAATGCCTCGTGTTGTGGAGTTTACCGTGAACTGTATAGCCCGTTGTTTTAGCATGTTGTTTATCCATTCTATAAGGGTTGATGGTACTCCACATAACCTTAGTGCTCTGGTTATACTCGTGAAGTTCGTTTTGTCAAAAGCACCTTCGATGTCAATGAATGCACCAAGGGTTGACTGCTTTAACTTCAGGGAGTTGCCAATGCGAGACACGACGTTGTGGAGTGATGAGTCCGTTGATTTGCCCGAGCTATAGGCATGTTGATTAGGGTGTAGGAATTTGGATAGCGATACCCGGCTGCGTATCTCCAGGTCTCCTAGCCTCTCCATCGTTTTTAAGAAGAATGAAGTAAGGCTAATAGGCCTGAAGGACTTCGCTTGGGTATAGTCCTCTTTACCTGGTTTTGGGATGAATATGATTTTTACTTCTCTCCATTTCAAGGGTATGTATCGGTGGGCTATACAGGCTCGGAAGACAGAGACAAGATAGTCTACTATTAAGTTCCCACTCCATCTTAGTAGACCTGGGAAGATGCCGTCCAAACCGGCCGCTTTGAATGGAAGGAAGGAGTTGATTGCCCACGTTACTTTTTCATTAGTGATTATTTTGTGAGCTACTTGCCAGTCTGAGCTGTCGGTGGCTCTCTCTGAGTATGGTTGCCAGGCCTGTTCGTTGGCAATTATGCAACCCGGAAAGTGTGTTGCCAGTAGTAGTGCACATGATTCACTATAATTACATCAGTTTCACATCAGTTAGTACGAAAGTTAGCTTTATACTTTAAGTTTAATTGATTATGAGAAAGAGTTGTAGCGCCATAAATTTCTTAAATTAGATATAATGCCGATTTATACAAGATATTTTCACTGTAAATATTAAATACGCACATATAAAAGTCCAATGATGAACTTTATACTTACTACGATACTTTTAGAATCACTCAACACTTTAAGCACAAGTAATACGAAGATAAAGTTTGCGGAGTGGTGCCGACCACTGGGGATTTCAGTAACCCACCGCTGCCACCAGTAATTTGAGGCTGGAAAACTAAAAGGCCTTTTTGAATAGGAAAATTTAGTGAAGAAAATTAGACAACCGCTCTCTGAAAATGTTCACCGCAGACTGGCTGTTGTTGATTTGCGATCATCTATTTTTTAAACGTGTAATTATTTAATGACTTTGTCAGCGATACTCCTTGTTAGGTTAGATATGTGACAGAGCCCGAAACTGCTCGAGAGAGAGACGCAGGTCTTGATTGAGTTCTACTGATGTCCGTAAGTCCGGGTCCCTTGGGTTGCCTTGGAACCCCAAGGACTTTTAAGAGCGTGTGTAGGGCTGAGGTGTTTTTAGTAGGTAGGGTCCTTCTCAATAGGACCGAGGGCAGCGGGATTTGAGTGTTGATCCAGCCCCACACTCCCCGCGTCAAGCTTGACATCTATAATAATAATATTTTTTTCTCCCATACAACATTTGCAACAAACAATAAGATTACAGTTGAGAAGGTGACCTGTGATATGGATAACCAGATAACCTTCTATTCCACAGCAGTCATACTGAGTGGTAGCATTGTGTTTAAGTACACGACCTACTTCAAATTATTTCAATTGTCTGCATCCATTTTCTAATACTTCCGCGCTACCCCTTTATTTCATTTTCCCAGGTTTCTGGTGGACGTCCTCTCATCTTCATCCCACTGGGTCATTCCAAGTAAGGGTGTTTTATTTTCTTTTTTTCTATGGGGTGGGCCTGCGTAAACGCATTTTGCCCTCATTACAAAAATATAACAACGCCCGACATGAGAGAAGAGAGTCGCACGCTGAAGCCTGCTTAGTGACTAATATTTTTCTTTAGTCTTTATCTCCTAAACGCAATGTCAAAAAGTCATACCATTGGATCCTTAATAGATTTTCAATTGGGCAAGACAAGACGGATATATCATTATTATAAACGTCTACTTTCTAGCAAAACCACATAAAATATTCTGTGTAATGTCTTGCGGGACTACGAACGAACCGCGATATTTCACATTTGCTTATATGGATGTTTTACGCACATCTTGTTATTCTGTTTATGCTAAATGTAATGTTTTCTAATAAATATGCTTGCTTGTTTAGTCGACATTTATACAATTTTATCCGGTAAAACACAATTTAAATAAAATTTAATTTATCAATTAATATCCATCGCTACATTGGTACAATTGTTACTGATAAACTAAGTTATTTTAATTTTTCATAATACATTAAATAATTAAATTTAATAGTTTATGTTCCAACAAATGGCATTATTTTATATATATTTTCGACTTTTAACATATCCAATATTTACGTATATAAGTATAATTTTGTTTTGTAAAAATAACGATAAGACGTATTTCGACGTGAGTTTTATAGTTATTTTTAGACTTTAGCCTAACTTTTTTTATTTTAAGGCTTAGACTTTACTCGGCACTTCTACGTTAAATATCTTTTTCACTGGAAATCAAACAGAATGTCGACGCTTCGTTAACTACTAAGATATGGTGACGGTAAAACCTAAACTAACCTAAACCTAGATAAGCTATAATTAATGCTATGTGTTCCATAAGTAAATATTATAAAATATAATAAATTAGCGAAATTGTGAATTTAATTTAAAAAAACAAATATAACCAAGTGAAAAAGCGGGATCAAGAATAATAAAGGGATTTGGGTTTACCGCTTCACAAACGATTTATGTTTGTTTTGTTTCGTTTAAATTGTTTCTGAATTTATAAAATCCTTTTTGTTAAAACTTCAAGATTTTTTATAGTTTACTATTTTTTTAGTTTTATAACTTTCAGTGTAATATAATATATTATTCATATCATGGCAACTTAAAGCTTAAACTTAGCTTTGGTACCTAAAATGGTCATTTAACTTGATATAAATCCAATAAATAGGCTATTTTCAAAATATGTCCTTTTTATCCAATGAATATTTGCTAATTATGTCTGAAAATATACTTATTAAGATGGCAGAATATCTGAAAATAGCCAAAATGCTGAATGATTAAAAACTATCTATACTAACATCGTTCGATACATCATAAGATTTGTTGTAAAACATTTTAAATAAAACTTATAACGGATAAGATACTAAATGTTTTATATTTTTCAACAACAATGTATTCAGTGTTACATATATTAGTAGGGGTAGAAACTATAATAATTTGATTGCATCTGAATGTATTAAATATATATAATGATTTTTATAGTTATTGTATTATTTGTCAACAGAATTTGAAGAACCAGATTATGACAACAAACCTATGGGTAGAGCAGTCTTGGTATGACTACAAACTACGTTGGGAGCCCCGGGAGTATGGCGGAGTCCACATGCTGCATGTACCTTCAGATCACATCTGGAGACCAGACATCGTCCTATATAACAAGTGAGATCCACTCTTTTATCTGAGCATCGTATGTTTCAATACAATCGGACGTTTATTAAAGTCCATTTAGTAAATATAAACTCTAACTAAATTATATAATATAGAAAATAATTATATGTTTATTATGTGTGTGTAATGTTTTAGTGGAATTAAAAACCAATTTAAATATTTTAATTTATCATTCGATGACTAACGAAATAGTAAATGTGCTGCTTTGCTAGAAGTTATTAGCTATATAGCCCAAACCCGGCATCAACATCACCCCCTTACCACTATCACCCAAACTAATAAACTGTTTTAACTAAAGTCCTTAACCGTTATCACAGCATTAACAATTTGACAGAATAAAACAAAACATAACTTTAATTAAAAAGTGCATTTTACAAATATATTTTTGACATTAAAGATATATGTATTTTTAGACTTGATTGATTTCAGTTCGTGGCTGTAGCACCTCTCCCTAGATCGTTAAACTGTTAACAAACGCCAGTTAAAGAATGCATAATAGTCTACAACCTTGTTACAACCACTTTACAAGAAGTAAAATATATTATTCGTAGCCCCTTTCTACGAATAAACACGCTCGTAGCTCGAGCTACGAGCTACGTGGACTACGGTAAATGAGATTGAGGTGTAGGTCCTTGTATAACATTTAGAATATACAATTAATACAGAATGTGCTTACTTAATCAGGCGATTTGTGTACCTAGATTTAAGAATCACCGTTACAATTTCGTTTTAAACATTGAAATTTGAGTGATTGTTTTTAATGTTTATAAAGGAAGAATACAACTATAATTAATATTATAAATAATATGATTTTATAATCCCATTTAAGCCGTGGTTAAAGTGTCAGTAAAATTAATGATTATTACAGAAATAACTTGAGTCCTTTAAATAGAATCTTAAAACATAAATTCATATTGCCATGTAGTCGGCAAGCTAGCTAGTTATAAACAAACGACAGTCAGAAGTATTATGTTGCTAGTTTTGAACTTCGGTCTCCGATTTTCATTAGCGAAGTGCAATGAAAGTTGACAGCAGTAGTTAAAAAACATGTTGCCTGTATAGTTAATATTTCCCGTAAAAAGGTTCCACATTTGAAAAAGGCACAGATTTTATTTGCAACAACAAAACCATGACTTCACGTTGGCGTTCACACAAATCAATAGTCAATATAACAATATTATTTACTCGAACTAATTTCGAAAGTGCCATAAATTATGAAAATTATATCGTATCGTTCCCGTTTTGTGAGTAACAATTTTTTTACTGTTTAGTATTTTCTAAATGCAAATGTTCAATACAATTTCAATGAATTAACATTTTTGTAGTAGACGTAACAAGAACTAGTATAACAAGGTGGAATTAAATTTCTTTGAATCAATTAATATTATATAATTTGAACTCCAATAAATGTTGACCTAGTTCTAATACTGTTGAGGCAAGTAATGTCGCTTACTAATATAATATAGAAATAATGGAGAAAGTATTCTTTCTATATATAATTACTAAATAACTATTCCTTTCTTGCCGCATCCTTTAAGGTCTCTGCAGTAAGGCTATGGAATTCACTTCCTGTCTCTATTCGCTTAGCTCCTTCTCTATTTTCCTTTAAATGTCTACTGTACAAGCATTGCCTGTCCATCGTATCCCTAACTTTCGTACTGACTCATCTGGAATTATCGTGATTCATGTGCACTTTATCTTTTTTCATGTGTCCTTTTTTTATTGTCCTGTTCATTATTGACTTATGTTTTAATTGTCTAAATAACTATATGTCTTAGTACTTTGCATTTCTTACGCTTACCTTAATTATTTTTTTTCTCACTATGGTTGTGGAAGAGATCGCTCAAAAGCGGTAAGGCCATCAGTTACTTTCTTTTTATTTTATTATGTCAATTGTATTATATTTCTGTGGTTGCAATTAAGCGTTAATCAATAAAATAAAATAAATAGTTAGAATCCATTTAACTCACACAAAAATGATTTAGGTGATTAAATTTTTAAAGGCAAGTCTCCTTTATAGCGTGACATCATGATAATTAATATGACATTTGCATTACTATATTTACATGGTTGATTGTGCTGTTTTATAATCTCAATGTACTTTTTTGCAACTAAATAAATAGATAATAAATAGTTTAATAAAATAATATTGAATTAAGACAAAGATAAAATTATATTTCATTCATTTATTATGATTTCGTTAAAAATATAGACTTGTTAATATTTGTCGATTAAAAAGCTAAGCTAAAGCTCACATTTATAATCTGCTGTAAAGATTAACGTAATTGCAATGTATTTATACGATATAAACCTTAATAAACGCCGACAGCGCGGTAATAAATATAAATTAATAAAATTTAACGCGTGACGTTACACGCTTATTAATGAAACATGTTTAAACTAATTTTCCACTCGTGACTAATTACGTGGAAACTAGGCTATTAGATGTACGTATTGTTCTGTCATTGTTGACAAATTACTGTTTTTAATTATACATTTACTCTCATACGTACAATGGTAAATTTCAGAATAATCTCCCTCAAAAATTGTGTTTTTTTTTCTCTTATTTTTTATACTTGTTTGTGAATGATATGTATGTATGAGAAATAAACAAAATAAAGTTGCTAGCTTTTATTACTATAGTAAGTAAAAAAAATTAAATAACTAACGTATTTCATTATTTTTGTTTTAAGTGACATTACCAGGCCTTCATGCATCTATAAATTTTTCACGGAACCCTTAATATTTCTTCACCGGAAGTTGAAGCCAGACCGGGTTTTATTACATGTGATTTAACAACAAAGTAATGGAGGCAGTAAATAATCATATGGGTCATGTATTTAAAAAAATAGCCTTTGTTTAAGTCCGAGTTCGATTACATTACGGCCATGTCATTATGTTTAACAGTACTACTCGACCTTCGACGGAGTGCCTCCTCCAAACTCCTTCCTCTTCTCATCCTCGCCACAATATTCCCTTCCTTCCCTGCTATCCCTTTTATTCCATATATTGAAATTTCTGTATTTATATGTCTGGTTAATATTGAAGCTAAAATATATGATAAATAATCTGCTAAGACTTTTATAATCAGTAGCTATGTCGCGTAGCAGTGGCTACGTCGTAGCAATTTCGTAGACTCTCAAATGTCTTATAGGATATACGTGATCTCGGGGGAGACAATTTACGTCTTGATAACATCGCTCTATCTTAGGGAATTTATATATAAATCCTATTATAAATTACCCCTTAACCCGTACCTATAAATGGAAATTAAACAAATCTAAAACTAGTTTATTAGATTTAGTCATATTTAATTAACTTACTATACTGTAGAGGCATAATGTATAAAAAGATGAAAATGTATTTTTATATGTATTTATAAAATAAATCAGTGGCGCAACAACCACTTTAGGTCTTGGCCTCAGATTACTGAATCTGTTTCATGATCATTTTTAAATCTAATAGGCAAGTAGGTGATCAGCCTCCAGTGCCTGACACACGCCGTTATTAGCTTTGTTATTTTAATATCATAAATTTAGAGGAAACATGTTAAGCATAATATCAGTTGCATTTAACCAAAGTACCAGAATATTCTGTAGCATTTATGAATAAGGGGTTACAAACAACTGTTCTCAAACAAACAACGATTAAAATATTTGCATTGAAAGCTAAATTATCCAAAAAAGTATAAACATTTTATTCCAGATCGCGGATGAAACCGCAGTTTCACGAAATGTTACATTGGTGAATTTTCGTAAACCATCGAAATTACAGAAAACATTTTGTGGTTATTTTATTATAAATGAGTTTGTATTATTATACTTTAAATATAAAATTTTGTGAAAAATACTTATGTACATTAACATTTCGACGTTTATAGTTATAAAGAGAAGTTAAGTTAGTGACTTAGTAATTTAGTTATTTCAAGCACTATGGAGACTTTATTCCGATTAAATAAGACAAAACTTACACATGAGCGCTTTAGTATTTTTTTATATAACAAACTTAAAGCGCACTCATCCCCCAGTGTCAGATAGATATTAGATATAAGGAAATAATTCACACAATATACTTATCTGTTAACTTAATAGTGCAGTATGTCATGTCAGAACATGAAAATCACTAAAAAGTCAAAAACTGTTTTAACTTATAATAACGGACACTACAGAAGCACATCCCCTTTAAAACCTTCCCCTTGAAAGCACTAAACGGTAGTGATCTGTAACTTCTGGGGACGTGATTAAATAGTTTGATGGCAACAGCATAGCTATTCTCTGAATACAGCATAGTGCTAAATGCTACAAACAGCCATGTTGGATTCCTTGGCATAGTCCACTCTCATTCACTTAGTATAAATTCACGTTTTTATTTAAGAATTTAGTGCTTGCGTAAATCAAAGAATTTTTACTGTAAAGATATACATTCAAAAGATAGTAACATCAAGTAGAGCACAATTTTATTGAAAACGAAAAGATTTGATAAAGCATATTAACGTATACAATAAATTTGTTATATCACGATCGTAGAGAACTATCGATCCTCCTATTCATAGACGGCACAAGAACACTCCACGAGAATTCGAAAGGCGGCAACAAAAGATCTTTTCATACATTTACGAGTGGGCATTATACTCATCTTGTATCTACGCTGTCCTAAATAACGCGATTAATCTTTCCCAATAAGAGATGTTAACAATGTTATTAGTAAGATATCGTATATATAACCAGTTAAAAAAAGGTTTTAATGTCTTAAGTTGTTCCTGAATAACTCCTATTCACTTGTTTATTCCTACGATATTTAATCTGGTGCTAAATTCAACGTGAAGATGACAGAACAATAATATTGGGCGTCTTTTCTTAGCCGATAAATGAATAAATAAAATTAGGTTAAGTGCCGAGTCATATTGATTTAAACTAAATCTATCACATTCTTAGACTGTTCGCCTTTACCAAAACATACCGACATAGATAACATTACTAAGCTAAGAATAA